TTAAACATGCAAGATGAGTTTGCCTAGATCATTTAAACAATTTCAATGTGGTGAGCAAATTTACCGAGCCAACATTTTGGAGGAAAACGATATAAAGTAATGGATAGAAGAGTATAGTGATATAACATACACGAATTGGAATGTGAAGTCAGCGAAAAATAATTATAACAGATTCAAATGCAGGTTTGTGTTCAATGTCAATTTAATGACGTAGAATCTTCTTGGATGCGAATAGACTTTGGAAAATAAATTTTTTAGATATGTTTTTGTATGCCATCATTCTGCTTATAAAAAAGTGGATCAAGGAAATAATAAGAAAGGAAAATCCAAAAACTGCTGTTGCCTGGCTTCAATTGATATTTTAATTAAACCCAGATACCAAAAAAAAAGATAGATATATTAGGGTATTTATTTTCAAAATTTTCTATTCTAATTTCCAACCTGTAGCTGGGCACTGTTTAACATTTTGACCTTTGATTCGGCACTCCACATAGTATATGTATATACCATTCCGACCTGAGGCTCAGCACCGTTTCACATTCAAGTACGGATTTCGGCACTCCGCATTAATTGGCGGTCCGAATTCAAACGGACCAATGAAATATGCCTAGGTGCCGAATCCTATACCGGAATGTTTAGATGCGCCCGGGGCCGACCGGAAATTCGCCGCCCCCTCCTGTATTTTCTATTTTGGCCAAGAAAAAGAAGTCAGTCAGTCAGAGTTACTCTTTTTTTTTGTTTTTTTAGATACTTCTAGTGATCAGATATTACATAGTTTTCTTTTTGTGAAAATTGTCACAATGGATGAAGAATATTGTAAAGAACTGCTTTTGAAAATTTTATTCCACTCAAAAATTCCCTATTGACAGAATCCTGACGTCAAAAAAGGTAGCCATCATAGAAGCATGGTTTTGGCGGGAATTTTTTTATTTCAAATGGACCCACACTTCTTATGGGATTTCTGACCGCGGTCAAATTTAACCAAATTTTAGTATCTTATAGAACTCACCTTTCTAATCAATAACTACCATGGGCACCACTTAATCCTATGACGAGTTTTTGAGATACATAGTTTAATGTTCAAGAAATGCACACATTTTATATGCATTTACATCTACCTGTCACCTGAGCGTGAGGATACCTGTCTTGTCCATCCCGGTATTATTAAATGACAGGTAGATGTAAATACATATAAAATGTGTGTATTTCTTGGACATTAAACTACCTGTATGTATCTCAAAAACTAGTCATAGGATTAAGTTGTGCCCATGGTAATTATTGATTAGAGAGGTGAGTTCTAGAAGATACTAAAATTTGGTTAAGTTTGACCGCGGTCAGAAATCCCATAAGAAGTGTGCGGGGTCCATAGCTGGTTAGTTTATAAACTATCCAATGCAGTTTGGCTAATATGAAAACCATATTTTCTAGTAACACAAAATAGCCATCAGTATAATTTTTTGTGTAACAAGGGCGGTATCAGTTGAATAAAAACTTGTCATATAAATATTGTGCAGTATAAACTATCGATTTAAAACAAATTTGGAAAATTTTACTGCACTTGCAGGTTTAGACGATGGCGTTTTAGAGTGAAAGTTTTTCTATTTTTGATTAAAATTTGCCGCCCCTTCTCGTATGCCGCCCGGGGCCATGGCCCCCTCTGCCCCCTCTTGCTACGCCACTGATGTAGGCTGTAAATCTTGTGCATGTAAAACCGAAAATAAATTCTTTTTAATCAGAATCCTTTTCCAACTGCTCTAACCGCTTCTCCATTTGCTGTCGTTATGGTTTGTGTATCTTGAAAATATTCAAATGTTTCAAAGATATCACCTCGATTTGTAATATGACTTGTAGCCCCATTATCCACAAACCAGCTAGTCTCCTCACATTCGCTAAATAAGACACTACTTATCAAGGCAACTAACATCATGTTTGTACCCTTATTTTTCGGTGTTCTGTTATTTCTTGAATTTGAACTTTCTGGTTTTGGAGGTCTACCATCTTCTTTCCATTTAAAACATTGTTTGACAGTTTGACCTTATGACCTTCTCTTTTGCAATAATTTCAAACTAGTTTTCTCTCATTGGTCGAGCTGCTTCTCTTTCCTGCAAGTAACGCCTCCTGATGACTTTCATTATTCTTGTCTGATAATGCCTTCTCATGAGAACAAAGCTGATTTGTCAAATTGTCCATAGTCCTGTCAGATTTCGACATTAAACATCCAGCTTGACTTGAAGAAGAAGTAGTCTTGGGGTAGAGTTTCTAAAGTCTTAAAAACTAACAACAACTTAGATAACTCACAAATACATGTTTTATTTGTAATATTTTTTTCTTTTGATAACCTTTTTCACAACTCATTACAAAGGTTCTTGAGCTTAGACGTGTGCGTTGCCATATCATCTTCAACTTTCCTCTTATAGTTAAAGAATTTTAAGCAAACATCATAGGTTTTGTCCTCGACATTGCCATCAAAGAGCCTATTCAATTCAATACACACTTCTCTTGCTGTAGAAAACCTCATAAGTTTTTGTAAGGTATCTTGTGTCATATTTATCGTAAGAGCAAGAAGTGCATCACAATCTGCAGTATTGATACATAATTGAAACTCACCAGGCTTGCCTCATGCGCAGCAATTTCAACTGCTAACGCATAAAGAACCAACTTTCCTTCCAAAATATCAAGTGCATATGGAATACCTATAAGAAGAATATTGATTTTGTACTTTCATGTGGTCTAATCAGCTTTACCTTCCAGTAATCCTATATGAACTTTGCTTGGATCCAGCCTTCAAAGTTCAATTACTACTTTTTCGTACTAATTCAGCCCTTAATATTCTTAATTTTTCTCGCCGCTTTTAACCACCCTCTGTTACCATGTTAAAGTTTGAGAAACCGCATGATTCATGTTCTTCAACAGTTCTATTAAGCAACAATTTATAATATAGAGTGATGGTCCCAGAAATCAGTTACATTTAAAAAATACTAAGTGCCTGGATTGAAACTAATTTGCCTGAGGACGAGGGGCTCTACACTCTACAGGTCCATTTACCTACCCGGTTCACCAACCTAAACGTTTGGAGTGGTTGAAATGTCGTTCTAGAGTTGATAATAATTTTGAAAGCAATATCTGAAACGACCACCACAAACTCATCTGCAGTCTGCACAAAGCAACTCTTTTGATAAAGTTTTCAATCGTTTCACCAATAAAAGCTACAATACCTTCCTACCATACACGACCTCAAAGGAAAATACATTGGCGTTAAGTCAAATTGACTTGATTAATAAATTGATGCACAGAACATTGATGTTTCCAAAACGACAAGTTACACATCTATGTAGGTTTTTTTTAATGGAATAATGTTGGCATGTAGTTCCATTTTGCTAAAAAAAACAAAAGGAGAAAAAACGACAGAAAAAGAAACAGGGATAGGATAACGACAGGAAAAATATGAACAGCAAGACATTGAAAGGATCGCCGGCTCAATCCAGAACATTCGACCAGAAGTCAAAAACGACATAGATATAGTCAAAGGTGAAATAGAATTCAGTAGAGAGATGGATTGCTCACTAATACTGCACTCTGCGCTAGTGAGTAGGTACCTTATCCAGTCCCATTTCATGATAAATTTAATAATTTGACGCAAGTCCTGTAGCCTAACTTGAAAAATTTCCTCAGTCAAAATTCCAGAGGAACAAGTGCCGCCTGTTCAAGGAAAACGTTTTAAACAGGCCTGAGGGACTTTTAATTAAACATCACTTTCCCCCTGTGGCACATTTTGCTCGCATAAACATTCAGTGACGTAGACGTCATTTGACAAAATAATTTCTTCAAAACTACCGCCAGCTTTTAATTTTTTTTTTTCTGGATAGCGCACTAAATTATCAATTTACTAATGCAGACAAAGTTTTTTTTTTGTAATAATTTAAATAGGATACCTACAATATCGCGGACTCTATCAGGATTATTTCTTATTAGATAACATCTTATATTGATTCATTTTCCCCGCCTTTCATAGATCTTTTAAATACGATCTTATCTCAATTAGCTTCAATTAGGTTCGCACTTATACATATATTGTTGTTAGTCGTCAATCTAAATATTTCTACGGCACTGGGTCGATGTCGGAAGCCTATGCAGGCAATAAGGGATAGGGGCGCTCGCAAGCCCCGACAAGCTGTGCCTTTCCGGGAGCAGCTGTTATCCCTGCACCCCATCCCATAAGAATGCCTGGAATTGAAAATTATTCACTGCCTCTGATCCGTAATTGAAATACCTCTTGTCTGTTTGCTTATTGTAGATTTTGATTTATATCCTCGTTGCGATGCACCGGCGACCAGAGATTGCGATTGGACCCTCTTTCTTTAGGAATTTCTAGACTGAGAAGGTTTTCAGGAATTTATTATTTAACAGAATTTATTTAGTTCGTGACAAATTTTTGAAAAAATTGCTGAAATTTGAATCCTGTACTGATTCATTGATCTTCTCGATGATCTTATTAGGTATGACGGACCTTCCTACAGTTTTGTAATTTCGAACTTAATCCCTTTCTTTGCTGTATCTAGTGTATCTGATAAAACCAGATGATATCGCCTTCATTGAAGTCTAGGACCTACGAACATATTTATTTAAGAGCTTATATTCATGCGTTGTATTTAGCAGCGCAAATTTGTATTGATTCTCTTTGCTGTGTGATGAAACAGTAGAAAGATGATGAAAAAACATATATTCATTTTATATCCTCTTTGACTTGATAATGCACGTACCTGTACCTACTTAGAAAGTAGGTGGAAGCCTAAATTGATGCTACATTCAACATGCTCAACCCAGCCCCAAATACGAAAAAAAAAACTGCCGCTGATGTCATTTTATTTTTATAGATTTTGTTAGTCCAGAAACATTTTATTTTATTTGTAGTTAGATATTAGATGTTCATTTTCTGCAGCTTTATATGTACGTATGCATATTTTAAGAAAACAAACACTAGTGAAAAATAATCTTTTCAGACATACTACCCTACAATACCGATGACGTACCCCTCGCCAGGGAATTACTACACAAAGCTGTCAGCGGCCTTCCTAGTTTTTTCAAAGAAAAAGTGCCTACCAGTAATGATTTTTTTCTATAATACTTTCTTAGATCATAAAAGAAACTTTCAGCAAAAAATTTGCTCAACAGCTTGAGTCTCAGACCTATATTGTTTCTTTATATGATCATACATTTCTTTATTGTTGAAATACATAGGTAAATATTGAATATGTTTCCCAAGGCTTCCTAATTTCAATAAAACAAATAATTGTATGAATGTGAATTTATTTTTCATAGAAACGCTATTCATTTAGTTATCATCACATTGGAAAAATTTATTGTTGAAATTGGTTAGTCTTTTGCATGTTTTTTCTGTCGTTTTTCATTCGAATTTATTTTTTATGCTAAGCAAATAGACCTTTTTCAACAATAAAGAACCTTAGAGTAGAGATGTTGTGAGGGACAAAACTTTAATAAGTCCCTAATTCGTTTTGATTTTCCCAGATATTCTGCCCTACAAAACACAAAACGAAGCCCAAACAAGAGAATTCTTGCAAAAAGTTATCGACGTACTCTTGGACTTTGTAAAGTCGTCCAATGATCGCAGCGAAAAAATTCTGGACTTTCATCATCCAGAAGAAATGCTGAAACTGCTGGATTTGAGGGTTCCGGATCAAGGGGTTTCGCTGCAGCAACTCGTCAACGATTGCGCTACAACTTTGAAGTATCAAGTCAAAACTGGTAAGTGACAAATTTGGTTTAATGAAAAACAGTTCTCACTTAGGTACTCATCACTAAACATGGCATTAATTAATGTTGAAGATAAATCGGTGTATTGATTATTAGTTTTTCACACCTAAAGTTTACATGATTTTGATCTGAAAACTCTAGAGTTCTGGAGTTGGATAGTTTCATAATGAATATTTTAATAAACATCAATACTAATATCATATAATACATTTTGCCTACTTTTGAAGTCTTATAGAATACAAATTATAAGGGGCTATGGGCTCAGGCATATACATTATCTGAAAAAAATCTAAGGTACAAGTCAAGTCATAAATAACGACAAAAATCCTTTCACCTGACATAAAAAAGAATCATAAAAAATTTCATGAAAATGGATCTTGTCCCAACATAAACCAACTGAAAGGAGAAGCAGATTAGAGCAATGTGTCTTCCAAAAGAGCAGGTTCATGGGCTTCAGGAAAATCATTGATCACATTACATTTAAATAACATTCGGTTGCAAGTTGAACGAATTATTGAATTATTAATTTATACGACGATCCTAAACCCATGGTAATTATTATAATTATAGCGATCACGCGCCATGGTCCCTGGATTATTATAAAATAATGGTTTTTGGAACATGAAGGAGTAGTCTACAGACGGAGAATTATCCGCGTTAGTTAGTTAGTAGTAATAGTGCCTTTTAGTCCTGTGATAATTATTAGTGCCCATACCCATAACTGACATGTATTTGTGGTAAGCTTTATTTTAATACACTTTCCTATTTTTGTACTTGGCTCTAGCTTTGATTCTCCCCCCCTCCTAACCCCCAGGCCCGACATATGGATCGCTAATTATGATAATTACCAGTGAACTGTCGTTGACATTGACCTTCAATGGGTTTAGGTTCCTTGTACGTACGAATTAATAATTCAATAATTCGTTCAATTTGCAACGGAATGTTATTTTAATGTAACGTGATGAATGATTTTCCGGAAGCCCGTGAACCTCTTTTGGAAGACGATTGGGTTCAATTAACCGATGGGAGATGCCCTATTATCCTAGATACGACAATATGCTAGACAGACTACGATGAAGGATGTTTAGATGTTATTCAAGGTACACTTGGTGAACCTATCCCTATTTCTGAAACTGTTAGTGATAAAGCACAAAAAGAATACAAAGTAAAAGTAGATTTTTATAGAAAAGCTGATATATTTATTCCAAAAGAATGATCACCAGTGCTGTGAGCGATACGGTTTATCAGATAATAATGGACGAAGAGTCAGCATAAGAACGCTCCTAAATCAGTTTGAAGCGTCATCTAAAGACCAGTTGCTTAAACTATTCCCATATATCTTCTCTTTTGATTAGTCAACTGCAGAAAATGTATCAACACATCGAACCTCCGGAGAAACAATGTCATAAGTGCAAATTTTTCTAAAACTGAGATTATGTTGTCAAAATATTCCAATACCTTCAGACCATCTTATAGCTACAAAGACAGATTTGTATTTTGAAATCCTGCCTCTAGATAGCGAATATGTCTTTGTGGAAATGGCGCGAATGATGTCCGTTCCTAGCGTAAACAATGACCGATTTTTCAGTTCTGCGCACAAAGGTAAATATGACAAATACATCTGTAATTTATTCCAAAGCAACTACGACAAAAATGTATTTTGTATCGGTTTTTCTTATTAAACCTGCGAAGTTAATGGACCAACAAAGACGCAAATGCATTTTCTGTCCTTAATTAATTCACCTATTTCAAAAAAATTGCTTAGCCATAGGGCAACAATGACATAATTAAAGAGGCTCTGCCCTAAAAACTTTTGAACCGGGCAAAATTGTAAAATGAATTCAAAAAGCAAACTGGAAGTGAGCTATACATATTATAGAATTTTTATAAAAATTGAATTCGTCAGAAAATGTATAGTTTATTGTTTTCGGTTTGAGTTGCAGAAGCTCTGGAAACTTTAAAAGCGTTTCCTCGAAATTTTACAAATTTGCACTTATGACCTTGTTTCTCTAGGGGAGCGACATATTGGAAAACAATGGGCAAACTGCCAGATTTGAAGATATTTTGCAAAATTTTGAACACTCCGCTAAGTCTAGTTGTAGACTGATAACAAAAGATACGAAGAAAACTCTTGACGAACTAGTTCCTTAGCGTTGTATTTTTGGAAGAAATTTTACCAAAAGTGAAAAATCAGAAGCTCTAATAGCAAAAGTTCATAACAAACCAGCTAAAGGTTCGAAGATACCTGTAAAATGTCACTACTGTAAAAGCAAGAATCACTGGTTACGTGATGATGGCCAACCATCAAAGAAACAAGAATCTAAACAATCGAGCCAACAAGATGCCAATGTTGCACTTATGATGATTTCAGAAGAAGCTTAGTGGATCGATAATGGAGCAAAAATACACGTGGTCAATACTCCAGAATAGAGAGTTCTCATGCTCTCCAAATTTCAAATACCGTAACGTTATTTGACAAGTATGACAGTTCTTACGGTATTAGCGTTAGCGGAACCCGCTACCTAACGGGAGTTAACGGATGCCTTACCGTTACGCTATGTTATGTTTACGTTCCATTTACGTCTAAAAGAACAGCAACTTTTAATAATTCCTCCATAAAAAACACCAAGGGAAAATTAATGAAACTCAGGAATCTTCAGGATAAACAAAAATTGGCAAACAAGCAAAAAAGTTGGGTTAGATCACTCAATACAACTGTCAAAATCTAAACAGAATAAAGAGATTAGAGGATTTTTGTGTTTTCGTGTCCGAGAACTATAAAATACCATTAAAAATACCGTATTGTTAGCGTTACCATATTAGCGTAGCATCTGAGACACGAGAACTTTCTAATATTTTAATTTTATTACCGTATTATGATGTAAGGGTTAGGGCTCTCCACAAAATGGTTGATGATGAAACTCTCTAGTTTCGAAACATGTAGGGCTCTATAAAATAATTAAACTTTATTTGTGGAGGAAGACTTGGTGTTTTTCTTTGAAAATTAAAATAAAATGGAACCTCGCCTGGAGACCTAATAAATGTTAACCGGTATTTCTGGACCATTTGAAGTGTCAAAATACCAGAAGAATAGGGTTTCGATATGGATATATCTTCTAAAAGAAAAGTCTGAAGTTGAAAGTTGTGCTAGAAGATATCATTGCCCATGTTTACAACCAAGGACATAAGATTAAAGGGCCACCTACTTAGTGACAATGCTAAGAGTTTGCTGATGAAGAAACTAGAATCATACAACGCAAAAATTAAATTAATCAAAGGTTAAATGCTCCATATTGTAACGTGCCAAAATTGACTTTAACTATTTCACACTTATTTTCAGTTTTCCATTCAAAATTCCTTTAACGTTGTTTACATTTTTCCTCTATAAAATTCAACAATAATTACAGTAATTGCAGATTCTGTACATTTTCTAATCTTCAATATTTAAATTCTATTTTCACTTGTGACGACTAATAATTTTCCTCGGTTTTAATCAATATTTTAATTCCATTTACTGCCTAGTGTTGTTCGTTGCAGGACAGCCAAAGCTTCCATAACTTCTCTTCTTTCCTTTACTTTTTCTGCTTTTCTTTCCTTTGCGACTTTGCTTATTTTTGCCTCTACCTTTAGCTTCATTGACTTTGGTTTGAGTTGCAGAAGCTCTGGAAACTTTAAAAGCGTTTCCTCGAAATTTTACAAATTTGCACTTATGACCTTGTTTCTCTAGGGGAGCGACATATTGGAAAACAATGGGCAAACTGCCAGATTTGAAGATATTTTGCAAAATTTTGCTTCTTTTTGGTTATCTTACCTTTCTCTTTTCAAGGCAAAGTAAACGGATACTCGTTCTGGAAGGACACATAACTACCATTATTCTTATTTACCTTTTATTAGTTGTTCGTTATTAGTCATTTTGATTCCATTTAAGTTTGAAATATAGAAATATTTAGGGTTCCCTATATTATCTTGGTTCTCAGGTTTGCTTAGATTATCGTCGGAAAAGTTTCCTTGTAACTTTCCCTCCTATTGTAGGAGAGGGGGGGTTGTAACGTGCCAAAATTGGCTTCAACTATTTCACACTTATTTTTAGTTTTCCATTCAAAATTCCCTTAACTTTGTTCATATTTTTCCTCTATAAAATTCAACAATAATTACAGTAGTTGCAGATTCCGTAAATTTTCTAATCGTCAATATTTGAATTCTTTTTTCACTCGTGACGATAAACTCCTGAACAAAATGGTTCAAGATCTTCAAATACTCAAATCCTGGAGTAGAATTTCCTCAATCTTTATGGACTTAATTTGTCAACATAGCTATTTATGTACTCAATAGAACAGGTACCTGCTTCTTCAGTTAAAGGTATAAGTCTATATGAACAAGAAACCAATAACTGTGCCAATAATAAAACACCTTAGAATTTTTGGCGTATCCTGTTATACACATATTACTAAAGAAGAATTAAGAGTAGTTTTGTTTAGGGACGTCAGTTTTTCATAAAAGTTGATCGACTGTGAGAGCGTGTTTCGAAGACAACGTCAAGACTATTCCAGAAAAAAAATTGGAAAAAACCCCATCAGCAGAACAAAAAATCGAAGATGAAGAAGATGTAGATGGATCAGCGTTTACCGCCAATGAAGAAGATTATAGTAAAGAATCAGAATTTAAATAAGACAATTTCACAGAAATTCCAAAAAATTACAATCTTAGAAATCTTCAATCCAACAGAAAGCCTTCATGTCTTCATGTAAAATAAAACAGAACCTGGGACATTGTAAAGCTACCAGAAAACGCGAAAGCGCTACCATCTAAATGGGTGTTCAAGCCCAAAACCAATTCTGATGGTTCCATTGAAAGTTATATGTATAAACCTAGTCATCAAAAGCTTTAACAAAAGAGAAGGCATTGACTACACCGACAGCTTCAGTCCTGTCTTAAGACTAGCAACCGTATGATCAGTTTTGAGCATTGCAGCAAGCGAAAATGTGTTTTTG